TGATAATACTTCGGTGAGTGCGATTAGTTTTAAACCATCAGCTAAGTCAGTTTGTAAATCTTCAACTTGTGTATTAACTAATCTTAAATGTTCATTTATCCATTTCGTGGATGTATTCTGCTGAATTGTTTTCCATGGTGCATGGTCCGCTAATTCACGTTCCATGTCTTCATCAAATTCTTTTAGTGTTTTGTACATCAAGATTCGTCTTCTTCGGCAACTAATTTTTGATCATTATTATCATCACTATTATATTTGTTATCATGTTATCCTCGCTACTGTAGCCTTTCAACTGCTAATATATTTTCAAAATTATTTTTTCTTTAGATTCACGTCTTGAATCTTTTTTCTTCTAGTGCAATAATAAAAGGTTTGTTTTGTTTTTATCACGCACATGAAATGAAAGCAAATAGGAAGCAAATCACTCACAACTTATATATACACACACACACTAAAATATGAAAAAGGTAATTTATGGGTTTATTTTATTTTATTTCAGTAAAGAACAAATAAAACATAAAATAGGACATAATAAAAATAATAAAAAGTTAAAAATATTAAAACTAAGAGTTAAAATTACAATTCAATATTTCGACCTATTAATACGGTCGAAACAACGAAGAGAAACTTGTAAATGACCGTATTAATAGGTCGAAATATTGAATTGTAATTTTAACTCTTAGTTTTAATATTTTTAATTTTTTATTATTTTTGAACTTTTATTAAAATTCTTAACATGATAGCTGCAATGGTTCATAAATTTTTATCTTTAACCTTCCCCATAAACTCAAAAAACGTTATTAAAAAAAACACTTTCGACACATCTGTTCTATATTCTTCTTACGATATCTGTTAATAGTATGATATACAATGGACAACTTGGTGGTTCGTTGTACTTTTTCAGTTTTGCCACATCTTTCTATGCGTCAATTCTTTCAAGTAGATTCTTTCGTAGTGTATTTTGCCACGGAATTATTAATGTCTGTCGTCGTTGTCGTAGGCAACTAGCACAAATACTTCTCCTTCTTGCCACTAATCATTACCCAACAGCACCACCAACGGTGATCCACCCATCTCACGCTCATTTATCATTACAAACTGCCAATAATTAGACTTATGAACTGCAATAAAATATCCACCATTATAAATTGTTCCTATTTTCAATTAGTTTTTCTTTTCAATGAAACAAAGCTTATCTATTCGCGCGTGATGTCTTTCCTTGAATGAAAGGCACTTGGAAAGTCTTATTGAATAATTGCTCAGATGTTCCTGCGTTAACAATACTCAGACACAGTTTATCAAAGATCCTAGTAAACGAACGCCATAGAAGAATGGAACGTCGTTCTTCTGCTTATGTGTCTCCTGTTTTCACATTCAACGAACAAGATAAGATTTGACATTTCGACATTTTCTCATGGAATGAAAAGCATCGTTTGACGGTAGAAGATGTTGAGAGGTCTAACAAGGAACACTTTTTAGAGGTGTCCAGTAGTATCTGAAACGCTTAATGATATGTTTGTAATTGCTAGCCGAAGACCGGATGCTAAATCCGACTTTTTACTTCCAAACATATTACAGTGAATCTGTGTGCGACCATTTTTATGCGAATTTAGCGGAGAAATCAATGCAGGAGTCTTTTAGTGCGTCAGACTCTCGTGCATTATGTAATTTAATATACTCTTTGATTTCAGAAAAAATACCGTAAAAGGATAACAATTACGAAAGTCTACTTGAACTTCTTTCTTTTGCACAATTTTGCAACCCAGACTATTCGCTCGTTATAGATATTTATCACCGTAGTTCTAACTTGCTTCTCCTTTTATTATCCCGTGACTTGAGTAAAAGTGAAATGTTCTCAGTATTTCTGTGTTCATGGCCTTATTAAATAAAACTTTTAGATTATTGTGCTCTTACATTATGTGATGTATGACTAATGCTGAATGCAAAAGATAAGAGCAGATTAATGGAGCTATTTACGCAAGATCTGACATATATAGAATGGAAATTGGATGAAATGAATTATGATGGCAGGAAAGGAAGAACCATTTCCTACAGATGTGATTATCTTTCTTTTAATTGCTTTTATTTTCATTCTCATATAGAATTGTTCATCATTCGATCGATGTGTATCTGTGTCTATGGTATCTGTATCTGTGTGTATCTGTGTCTGTGGTTTTAAAACTCCCCAGTTAAGGCACCTATATGTTTTGAAAATTCATTTTAGCATGGTTTTATCATTCATAGAGCGCGAGAATATATAGTTTCACCATGAATACGGCAAATTTCTTCAGCTTTAAATACTACACGCTTCAATCAAAACTGCGTTTTTGGCATCAATTATTCGCAACGGGTTTATGAACGTTGTAACTGTTTAAAAAGTGTTCTCAGTCTCAACAGACTTTAAGACTCACGAACGCCACTGAATTTTTCGCGCTTCTGACTCAATTTAAACGAATTTAAACGAATTTAACGCATGAAATTTGAAAAACGCATTTCACTTTTTCAAAATTTATAAGACAGTTTCTTTGACGCGTAAAACTCGTTTCGAAGACTAAACTCGCGAGCTTAGGCTTAACAAATAATGAATGAAAAACGCGTTTTTAACTCAATGCACCGCAATAAACGCAAGACTGGCTGAAGAACCGCGAAAAAACGAATTTTCTAAAAACAGCGCGAAAAATATATTTTATGGACTAAATTAAATTTAAGATTAATTATGATAACTAGAGATAGACAACTTTGATAAAATGTTCTATTATTGGCTTGCAGAATCGTCTCCTCTATCGAATGCAAAAACAATCATCTGAAAATTGTGAAAACTACGCAAGATAACACTAAATTATCTGACATATGTCCCATTTCAAAGACTCATAGATGAAGTTATGGACAGCATATCACTCGCAAAGCAACGATATTACACCTTGGTATTATTCATATATAACAATAATTAAAACAAGTTTAATACCAAGAATGAAAAACCAACTATAGAGTGTGCTAATTAATCAACTTACTAATTAATTCAACTTGCTAATTAATTTTAATTTAAGATGATTGTTTTTGCATTCGATAGAGGAGATGTTTCTGTAAGCCAATAATAGAAGTTTATATCAATGTTATCTGTCTCTAGCTATCATAATTTATTTTAAATTTATTTTCGTTCATAAGAGCCATTGCAGATAAGCGACTCCCAAGTACTGCGACGGTACTCAATCGACTTTCTCCAAACTGGATTTCAATTACATAGGTCAAAAGTACAATCAATAGTAATTTTTTTTGCCTCAAATCGCAGCTCTACAACCCAAACAGCGATTGAGATATTCAAGTTTTAAGAAAAGTTTCCGTTTTTTTGGGTGGTGAATTAGGATCAATTAGCATTTAATCTTGAGTGTGTTATTTTCTAATAGCTTGACTTAGAGACACGATATTTCAGCACAAATACAACTTGGATCAGGCTAGAAAGCAGTGCAAGTCGGACTTTAAAGGTCGTTTTAATATCAAGTCATAGATGGCGCTACCGCCACTATGGTGAACTCTATAATATGAGATAGTTCCCGTCACTGCCGTCAGAGGTCGATGCAAATGGTACTAGGTTTTATATGGATTGGGTCTATCCGTCGATGGTGAAATATGCCTAAAAATTCAATATTTCGCGTTCCTCTTGGAAGTCCAAAGTTTTCTTTTGCCGTTTTTGCACTCTACTCTTGTAGTATCTACGAACGGACCGTTTTTTTCAACAATCTTTTTTGTTCACTATTGTTTAAAACTCAAGAAAATTGCTGAGGGAACCATCGCGAGTGAGCAGAAAAATTTTGCTATAAGAATTTCATAAGAAGTCAATAAGGACTTAATAAAAACACTTATCACTTTCTTATGAAATTCTTATACGATTCTTACTCGATTCTTATCTGATTCTTACATAATTAGTGTAACTTTAGTGCCACTTTTTATAGAAGAATCTAGTGAAAATCGGATAAGATTCTTAACGAAAGCAGTAAGAAGATGGCAAGATCCTTACCAGATCCCTGTCCAATTCTTATATAAGAACTGATGTCTAGGGTAGCTCCATAGAAACGAACGTATAATGTCGTCCACTATAAATCTACAGAATATAG